GCGGGCCTGCTCACCGTCTGTGTAGAAGGAGAGGAGATTGACCATGATAAGCAGATAGTGGATCCCGACGCAAGCGGCGAGGAGGTTCTCCCCGGTGCGGCCCATGCCACCGAACACGCAGTACACGGCGTACGGAAAACGCTTCATCTTAATCGGCGGCCATGGCCGCTCCTCATCCTCCGCCACCGCGGGTGGGGCCGGAGGAGGGCTCGGCATCGCAACGGGATCCGAAGGGGCGACGATTCGAGAGGAGAGGGGATCGGGCGAGGAGGGAGGAGCACCTGCGGACATCGGGCGAGGAGGGAGGAGCACCAGCGGGCGGCCTTGCCGGAATCGATCGAGGGAGCCGCCGGGTCGAGATCGCGAAGCGCGCGCGCGGAGCTGTGGTCGGGAGATCGAGATCGAGATCGAGATCGAGATCAGGCTGCGGGAATCGAAAACTCTGGGGATTGCTCTGGGAGGCGATGCCGATGCGCTACAGGGTTTTTGCCCGGAAGATGAGTTTTGTGGCGTCGCGTATCCTTCACGCGACAGGCTGGTGGCTGCTGGAAGCGGAAGAAGGAGAGCGGGCTTTTTTTTTATGATTAAAAAAATCTATGTGTTTTTTTTCGCTAAAACACATGTGTACGTGTGTTCCTGTTTAGTATAAAGAGAGACTTTGTTGGTCTTCTTTTTCCTTTTTTTTTTTGCTTCTGAAAAGATGGCCGAGGAAAAAAAAATAAGTTGAGTATCCTGTGTAAGTACAAAACAATGGCCTACAAATTATTAAATCACATTACATATTAAGCTAGTTAGCTTTTGAAGTGAGTTTAGCATTGAGCTTCTTGAGCAAATTGTGTCATAGATTTAAATTAGTTAGTATCCTGGGTTGTATGCATTATTATTCTGATATATAATTAGGATTGAGGTCATTTTCACTGAAAAGGAATAGTATCTCAGCCAGAGTAATAACATGTTTCACAGTCGTTGAGCTCTTGATCCCAGAGAACATCATGCTGATACAGGAATTGAAACACTTGAAACTGAATGCAGCTTAACCATGTGTTTTGCTTAGAGAGTAGGATATCCTTTTCTACTTTTGCATTATGCATCTCAGTGACCGCCAAACCCAAAGAAGAAATATTTGTTGAAGCACCCTGGTATGTTTTGAGCAAAAGAGCATGATTTTCTAGTGGTTTGAATTCTCTAAAAGGCAAAATAGTGGCATGAGACTGACTTTTTTTTGCTGTTGTATATTCAGAATTCCCATTATATCTGATTGCTAAATTTCCAAATAACTTACTAAATAGGATAGTTAAAAGAAGATTTTTGGACTCGACTTGTTTCTTGTTCTTTTATATACAGGTGGACAACTAATGATAGCCATAACTCCATAACCTTGTCTTATAACCATGCATTCATATATTTGTAAGAAACTTGGAGCTCGTATAAAATTATATAAAATATCAGTGTTGATTTCAATTGGCATGGACAACGTGCGCATGCATTGAAATATCCAATAAAAAAGGAATTACAGAATTGAAACTTGCAAAAGAAACCGCAATAGACATCAAGCATGCCTCTTTTTTTAAAAAAAAAAAAAGTTACCTTAAACATGTATTGCATGTCTTTTGTCAACGTGCTGGAGTATCTCTTGAAGACCTTAAGAACTGTGGCGTCTCCTTTGCTGTTTGCTCGGAGGACCTACGGTCTAGCACATGGAAGAGTAAGAGAAAATGGGGAAAAAATGAGAAGGTAGAGCTAGTACTTGGGAAAAAGGAAAGCCACGGACAAATGAAAGGAGGAGTGCCTAGCAGAAGTTGCATAGCCGGCGATACCCAGCGTCTGCTCATTTTGTCGAACACATTGCGGGCAATGAGTCTAGCAGCTGATCCGTTCTGTGATCTGGCGATTGAGGCGAGCATTTTGCCACCGCGGCATAGAGCCGTGACGCCTGATAGGGCTGAGCTCGAGCATCAACACCGGAGAGGGCCAAGCTCGAGCCGCGCGTGCGGGCAGCTGGAGGAGGGAGGCACGCGCGGCGCGGCTGGTGGACCGTGGACGGCGATGTCGGTGCGGCAGGAAGAGCGGCGGCGGGGAGACAGAGGGGATCAGCGTGGGTTCGCGACGATTCGCGAGAACATCCGAGTTAGCGTATTACGGGCGACGGACCCGCTTATGACCCAGATCGAATTGTCCAGCTCACGTCCTCGTTAGATCCAACGGTTAGCGGGCTAACGGGCGACGTGGCCTTATCGGGCGCCCACGGTTGCAGATCTGCGTGTGGGGGGAGGGCGGTGTTAACAGCAGATTTGAGAAAATGGTGGAGAAATTGGGGACAGAGGAGGGTGACGATGCATCGGCGAGGACAGTGTTAACGAGTATTCAGAGTTTGTTTACAAATTTCGTGACGCCTGTCTCTACACTCTCCGCAGCTCACATGGGCCTTGCCCACCTCGTGCACACAGGCACTGGTCAAACCCACACGGCACACGCTGGGTCGACGGGCTCGTCCACTCCTGCGAGGCCCATGATTCTCCACATCCTGTGGCTGCAAGTAGAAGGGCTAGTAGCAGTTCCCGATGCTTGAAGGCCGGCGTGCTTGTCCCCAGGCAGGAGCTCTAGGAAACGTCTGGCGCAGATGACCCAATGTCTCCCAGGTCGCCATATGAGCCGGCCAATTGGACCACTGAATGTCGACTGAACCGACCTCCGTGGGATGGAAACGGCGCTGCAACACAGCTATAGGCACCGGAGGCAGATCAATATCTATTGGCAGAGGAGAGGAAACTGGAGTACCTGATGTGACTACCGACTTCAATTGTGAAACGTGAAACACCGGGTGAATGGCAGAGGTAACTGGCAGCTCGAGCTTCTAAGCAACAGAACCAATGTGAGCGATCATCGGATAGGGACCATAGAACTTGAATGCAAGCTTCTGGTTAGCCCTCGGCGCCAAGGTAGACTAAACATAAGGTTGGAGCTTGACAAACACCAGATCACCCCTTGGAATTGGCGCTCGGATCGTTTCTTGTCGGTTTGATGCTTCATACGCTCCTTAGCACAACACAAATGCTGGTGGATAAGGTCAGTCATTACTCAGCACATCAACTGAGTCCAAAGCAGAGATGCCAAAATGACACGGAGGGTATCCATACAGAGCTTAAAGGGTGAACGCGCGGTTGCTGCGCAAGAGGCAACCAGGCATAGCACTTCGTCAGACAAGCATTGGAGAAACAACGAAGGAAAGTTTCCATTGTTTGATTGAGCCGCTCTGACTGACCATCGGATTGAGGATGGTAGCTAGAACTCATTTGTAACTGGACATCTGCCAACACGAACAATTCCCTCCATAACTGACTCGTGAATATGCGATCACGATCTGAGACAATAGCAGTGGGCAACCCATGTAGGTGATAAACATTGTTGAGGAATACCTTAGCAACGTACGTCGCCCGACGTAAACGGATGAGACAGAGGAAGGAAGTGGTCGTATTTGGTGAAGGAATCGACGACCACCAATATAGAGTTGGCATGATTAGAGCGGGGCCAAACCCTCCACGAAATCCATAGACATCACTTGCCACGTTGAGGCGGGCACATGCAAGGGTTGAAGAAGACCCGGAAGACGGGCCCTATCTAAAGATGGCAACGGGCCCCGATACCCGATATCCGACAGGTATTTGATCCATTAGGGGACGGGGATGGGATCATATCTTTACCCGCGGGCATCTAAATGGGCAAGAATCCATCCCCGACGGGTATAGCGGGTACGGGAACGTTCCCTGTTTACCCGTCCCCGTTACCCGTTGGGGAACCCGACTATTTGAGCTGTCATGCGAGTATTAGGCCCAAAGAAGCTCAACATAGGTATTTTGGCCAAAATCTGAACAATCATATATATAGTTTGTGTGTTCTAGAAACTCTAGTTCAATTTTTCCTCACCATCTCCGCCAGCAGCACAAGCACGCCTGCCTCACGAGCGCTCGTGCCCCTCGCTTTCTCAGTTCGGTCTCTCTGCCACCTTTGCTCGTCCTCCTCGCAACCTTGCTCCTTCTCCTCGGCATCTCCGAGACTCCGACACTTATACCCGGGTGAAGAAGAAACGTCTCCGATTGCAAAGCTACGACCCCAAGTGTCCTTGTTTATCGGGTATGCAGTGCCCGTCGGGTATCTGTTACCCGACGGATATGGGGATGGGCAAGAATCTATACCCGAGACAGTTAACGGGGACGGGGACGGGATGAATTCTCTGTAGCGGAGAAGAGAACGTTCCGGCGATACCGACGGGTACATCCCCGTTGCCATCCTTAGCCCTATCCGGTTTAGTGCACTGGCAAATGAGACACGATTTGACAAAATCGCGATCTGCAGACTTCATCCCTCGCCAGGAAAAGATTTGCTTCAGTTGCATATAGGTGACCAGAAAACCCAAATGGCCACCGAGCATGCTGGAATGGGTGTCTTCGATGATTTTCTTCTAGAGAACAAGATTGGCACCGATCCAAATGCGATGATAATTTGGAATAGATGGAGCAGATAATTTGGAATAAAAAAAACTATGTATCTAAAAAACCCAAACGGCTTATAATTTGGAATAGATGGAGTAGATAATAATGAACATACAAGGAACGGCACTGTAAGGCCCTACTAGTTCATTTCAACAGAAGCATATGTGCGATACAAGAAAAAGCTTTAGCTGACATAGTAATAACATTGCAAATTCAGTAGGAATAGAGTAATGTTCTTAAATGAACTGGCGCCTTAGATACAACTAGAAAAAAGAACATCGACATCGGTAAGTCTAGATTGCATACTGATGGCAAAGACAGCAAACCATGTTTCAGGAATTATTATTTCGAAAACAACATCTGACAAATGATCCAGATTGACAAATGCAGCTATCCCTAATGTCTAACTGCAAACTTGATGGATTTTGGAGTGGACACAGTTGCATCGTGGCACACTTTTACTACTGAAAGAGCAGCCACGTTTGACAAACACAAACAAAGCTTCTGCTGTTAGGCACGTCTCTCCAGAACATGCTGTAGATCCTTCTGCATTCCAGCCATGTCCCATTGAGCCTTGAAGTTACTGTGGAGATCCAGCAGCCAGAGCTTTTTCAAGGAGCCCAGGGATTTGATGCCTCGAGGGAGTGTCTCCAATTTTGGCAGTGATGTGATATATAGGCATTCTATGACTGGAAGTGCACCATTACTAATTTTCAGAAGGCTGACATCATTCATGTTCTTCAAAACAAGTGTCTTCAGGTGTGGGAAGGATCCTTCCGGAAGGTCCAAAGTAGGTGGACTAGGTATATTGTTAAGTCTCAGATACGTGATGTTCGGTACAGTAGATGCTAGAACCACCAGCGGGTCTCCTACAAAATGGCATCTGCTTAGGGAAAGATACTTGAGATATCTGCCATGGTTCTGAAATATCGGACAATCCGTTAGAGACCAAAATCCTCTTACAATTAGCTTGTGGAGCTTCATGCAAGTTGGATTGAAATGATTCAAGAGAAGTGTCTCATTTTCATCAGCTGCAGATAGAAGCAAACTGGAAAGAAGTAGAATAGTTGACAAGGTAGCAAAAAGCCCTCCACAGTGGGCAGAACCGCAGAAGTGATGTTATCTATCCACAGGCTTCTTAGATGCAAAAGCATATCAAGTTGCTCCGGCAAGTCCATGCTTGCTTGCACAGTCTCAAGAGTCTGTAAATCTTCAAGGTTCGAAAGCCCTTCCGGAGCTTCCACTCCGATGAAGTACCGAAACTCTGACTGGTTCTTATCAGCAAATTTGTCAGCAAGAAGGTGCCTTAGCTTAGTGAGCTTCACTATACCAGGTGACAGTGCTTTTATGCTAGTTGATTTCACATCAAGAGTTTGAAGATTGCAGAGATTCTTAATGGAGTCTGGCAGCGATGTTATTCTTGTATTTCTTAGGCCAATGTATTTCAGATTAAACAGATTTCCTATAGATGTAGGCAGTTCCTGGAAATCAGAGTTCTGCAGCTCAAGGACAGTAAGGTACTTTGATTCAGATAGTATTGATGGCACATAGTCCACAATGGTATCACTTGCCATCAGAGTTCGGAGGTGCGGAAATTTCATCTTGGATTTATTCGTTTTCGTCTTCTTCCATCCATATGAAGATATGCGACGAACATCTGTGTCCATCTGCACCATTGCACCAAAATCATTTACTGTACCAAATATTTCTGCTTTAGAGATGCAAAGGGCCAACTCTCTTAAAATGTCATGCATTTTGCATGTATTCACCCTTCCAAGCTCATCATTTTCCACAAGTTGCAGCATATTGCGGTGGATCAGCTCGGAAAGATAGCCCTCTGCTACCTCCTCAAGAGTGCTATCCCCTTTCTTTTCAACAAATCCTTCAGCAACCCACAGTCGCACAAGGTCATCCTTTGAGAAGTGGTAATCTTCTGGAAACAGGCTGCAGTATACGAAGCAGTTTCGACGGTCACTTGGCAAGTCATAGTAGCTAAGATTTATAATTCGTTGAACCTGGTCATCTTTTTCCAGCTCACAAGGAAGCTCATTGCACATCTGCCTCCAAACTGGCACTATTTGCTTCCTTGAAGACAACCTACTGCCTACTGATACAATAGCCAGCGGCAAACCCCTACATTTCTTTACAATATCGATAGTAATCTCCTGAAGCTCTGATGGACACTTTACCAGAGGTAAATCCTCAGACTGTTTTACAATAAGAGTAGCTAGATTCTGAAGCTCTGATGGGAATGCTGATAGTGACAAGCCCTTAAATTTGTTTACAGTATAAGTAGCAAGATCCTGAAGCTCAGATGGACACTTTGCCACTGAGGAGTCCTCACATTTCCTAACAATATGATTAGCAAGCTCTTGAAGCTCTAGTGGGCACTTTTCCAATGGAAGACCCTCAGAAGTCTTCATCATATCATTAGCACACTCAAGAAGTTCTGATATCCAATCAAAGTGGGTTTTGTTGGGAAAAGCCTTTGTAAAGAAGAGCTGGAGTGCATCCTTGATGTCTAATGGATTCAGGTTGAGCTGGTAACCTGGTGTGGCAAGAGCAGCTACATCCGTTTTCCTTGTTGTGATGACAATGCGACTTTCCTTTCCACAATCTTCAAACACATCGCTTATTCCATCATGAACTCGACGCTCCCATATATGCATCATCTAACACAACAATATATTTCTTATGTTTTAGGACTGCCTTTAAATTACTCTTCAAGTCTAAGATGCCCATTTTGTCGAAATCATCTGGGTTCAGCTGTTCTTGTGTCCTATACCAATATCAACTGGTACAGTTGCTTCCTTCTTCTTTTTTCGAAAACGCAGGAGAGCTGCGCATCATTATATTAAGAAGAAAAAAGGGGCTAGAGCCCTACAACACACACCACACACAACCCCACACAAATAACATTCGCGCCTGACAAGGACAAAAGGCGACCAAACACTATCACTAAGCTAACTACCAAAGAGAGGGGCTGTCAAGGAGGACAGACCCTTGGCTCCTGCTACTCTCCACAACCGGCGCTCTTCTCCAGCAAGGGAGAGAGCTCGTCCAAGATTGGGGGTAATTCCATAAAAAACGCAACGATTCCGGTGATTCCAAAAAATCCAAGCACCAAGCACAATAAGAGAGTTGAGACCTTTTTGCATTAATCCACTTGTTGCTCGAATAGCCTTTTCCCACCATATATCAAAGGAAGAATCAGAAGGCTGTGGTGACAAGGAGTGTAGGCCGACCTGTCTCAAAAGGAGATACCAAAATTGTCTAGCAAAGACACATGAGACTAGGAGGTGGTTGATAGTCTCATCCTCCTGATCACAGAGAGGGCACTGCACAGGATGAGGCAGCCCACGACACGCAAGGCTATCTATTGTCCAACACCGATTGTGGGCCACCAACCAAAGAAAAAAACGACATTTGGGCGGTGCCCAGGTTCTCCAAATCCTCTTGTATGGACCAAACTCAGTAGATCCCTGGAAGAAACCCTCATAGGCAGACTTGGCTGAGTATTTTCCACTAGCAGAGAAACGCCATATGTGGACATCTTCAACATCAGGCTCTAACTCAAAATTGTACAGCAATTCCCAGAGATGGAGGAAGTCGACAATAACACCTACAGTGCGGGCTCCCTTAATATCCAAAACCCAGCTGCGACCAGTAAGAGCTTCCTGTACCGTACGTTGCTTCACCCTTCTCTTCGGGATGGCTTCGAGTAGTCTCGGTGCAAGGTCAGCGATACACTGTCCATGGATCCAACGATCAGTCCAGAACAAAGTGTGATTCCCATTGCCCACTTCCGATATAACGGCTATCGAGAAGAAGGCATAAACTTGGCCCGGGATCTGAATAGGAAGGGCTGCCCATGGACGATGAGGCTCAGTTTTTTCAACCAAACCCATCTCATCCTTAGTGCCCAACAAAGACGCTTGAGGTCAGAAATGCCAAGCCCACCTAGTTCAAGTGGACGGGTAACCTTTCCCCAAGCCACAAGACAGTGTCCTCCACGAGCATCTTTGCGGACCCTCCAAAGAAAACTTCTCCGCAATTTGTCCACGGCTTTAATTGCCCATGGTGGGAAATCAACTGCCATTGCCAAATAAATAAGCATGGCTGTGAGGACAAACTGCACCTGAATCCTTCGTCCTACCCATGTCATGAGGTCTGCTTTCCATCCCGGAAGCCGATCAGCTATTCTATCTATAGTAGGTTGGATTTGTTCCTTAGTTAACTTCTTGAGAGAGAGAGGCAACCCCAAATATTTGCAGGGAAAATCCATGAGCGCACAGGGGAGAAGTTCCTGTACCAAGGCCAGTTCTATATGCCCACACCTGATTGGTAACACATTGCTTTTCTGCAAATTGGTTTTGAGACCTAAAGCATCACCAAAAAGTTGGAGGATGTTCATTATGACAGCAATATCCGTTGCCTCCGGCCGGAGAAAAAGAACCACATCATCGGCATAGAGAGATATACGATGTTGAAGAGCACGAGATGATAGTGGCTGCAACAAAACATCAGCGGCTGCCTTGGCTACCATATGTCCCAACACATCCATAACAAGAATAAAAGGCATGGGTGATAACGGGTCACCTTGCCTTAGTCCTCTCCGGTGAGAAATATGCTCCCCAGGTATCCCATTCAAAATTACTTGAGTAGAAGAGGAGGAGAGTAACCCGCTGATTATGTCCCTCCAGATTTGGCCAAAGCCTAAGTGCTACAGAACCTCAAGCAAAAAGGGCAAAGAAACTGAATCAAATGCCTTTGAGATGTCTAATTTTAGAAGGATTCTAGGCTGCTTTTGTTGATTGAGAAATCTTGCCGTTTGCTGAATTAGCATGAAGTTGTCCTGTATGAAACGCCCTTTCATAAAAGCACTTTGATTGGGAGACACCATCTGCTGCAGCCGACATGCAAGTCGATTCGCCAACATTTTAGTGATCAACTAAGCAAAACTATGTACCAAGCTGATAGGCCGAAAGTTTTGTGGTTGCTCAGCTTCCTCCTTTTTAGGTAGAAGAGTGATGTAAGCTGCATTAAGCACCTCAAAACCAGCAAATCTCCTACTCCATACAGTAGAAACTGCAGCCATAATATCTTTCTTTATAACCGGCCAGCAAGCCTTGTAAAATCTGCTAGTAAAACCATCTAGACCGGGCGCTTTGTCCGGAGGCAGTTGCTTGATTGTTTTCCACACCTCTTCTTCAGTAAACGGGAGCTCAAGATCAACCAAATCATGGGAGAGGATCCCAAGCGCATCAAGGTTGATAGTACGCGCTCTGTCCAGGCTTGTCCCAAGCAAGCCCTCATAGAATTCAACTAACAATCTTGCTTTGTCTTCATGTTTGGTGTAGATCTGGTCACCTGAAACCAGCTTGCCTATGAAGTTCTTCCTCTTGCGGTGACGGGCATGGAGTTGGAAAAACTTTGTGTTGGCGTCCCCATCACGTACCCAATCAATTCTTGAGCAAAGATGGGCAATTGTCCGCTTGAGGGATGCAAGAGCAAGGCAATGCTTCTTAAGATTGTTTTTCAGCCAGTCTTCTCTTGGTGAGAGGGTGCGACTGTCCTGGGTGATCTCCAGCTGATGGAGGATTTCACGGGCAAGGGCTAGCTGAGAATTAACGTGACCCACTGATTTATCACTTCAACTCTGTAAAGCTTTAGTGGCAGCTTTGAACTTGAGGTTCAAGGTGGAGAAAGGACAAGGACCAGCCGGCACTGAGGCCCAAGCAGCTGCTATAGTTCCCTGAAACCCCTCAAGCTTAGGCCAAAAAGCTTCAAAATGAAAGCGTCTGCGACCTGATTTATTATCCTGAAGTCCAAGAAAAAGAGGGCAATGGTCTGAGTCCTCCGAAGCCATGCTTTGCAGCAGACAGTTTGGGAAAAGATCCTCCCAGTCCACTGAACAAAACACCCTATCCAGCTTTACCAAAGTAGGATTATTTTGCTGATTTGACCTTGTATACTTCCGACCATGAAGAGGAATTTCCTTGATAGCAAGATCATTAATTAAACATCTGAAACGACCCATCATTGCTCGGTTATAGTTATCATTATTCTTGTCTTCCTCTTTGTAAATCAAGTTGAAATCGCCAACAAGAACCCATGGATCAGGACAGCCCCCTCTGATATCTCTCAGCTCCTATAGAAACTGGATTTTCTCATCCATGCCCTGAGGACCATACACACAGGTTAACCACCAGGAAACACCATTAACCGGGCATAGTTGAACAGTTACGCTGTTGTTATTCACATGGCAGGCCCCTGCAGTACCAAGATGATGACGCCAAGCAACAAGAATACCACCGCTAGCACCTACAGAGGGGAGCTCAGCAAACTCTGAGAAATCAGTCCCCAGAGCAGACAGAATCACTCGCCTGGCTGATGTAGAGATTTTTGTTTCCTGGATGCACACAATATCTGACCGGGAAGCTTCCACAAGAGTGCGGAGAGAATCTTGCCTTGCTGTAGAATTGAGGCCCCTTACATTCCAAATTAAAATTTTAGCTGGATCCATTACAAGATTGTGAAAAAACGACCAAGAGCACAGACCAGAGCAGCTTATGTGGCTACTACATCTTCACCAACTTGATCATCATCCTCACAGAACTCGGGGATGGACCAGTTGAACAGGGCAGCCAAACCAATCAGATGGACGTCAGGAAGTGGGTTTTCAAAAAGCTTACAATACTCCTCTTCAGCCTGCTGACAGACACCATTCTGCTCACTAATGATTTCCAGCGAGCGCATAACCTTCATTTTCGACCGCCTTGCCCAGTCCACCGGTTGGAACTCAGCCACTGCCCCCGCAAGACGTCGACTACGCCGTGGAGTCTCACCAGGTGGCAGAGCTTTTGCGCGACGTTTGCTGATGGTGGGGACTGGCAGCAGGCCTGCTGTCCGACGGGAGAGGTTGCTGATGAAGGTGTCGTGGTTCAAAGGCGTCGCGGCTGGGGACGGAGCCGGAGCTGCCACATCCCCCGCCGGTATACACGGAGATTTGGCGGAGACCTCGGCCTCCAGCTCTATCGTCGGCGCCAACGTGGAGCTCTCTGGAAGAGCAGCCCCGCGCGGGCGAGAGCGGCGACGCGAGTAGACTTGTAGCGGGTTCGCAGAGCGTTTGCCCAAACCCGGAGGCGAACTCAGAGACCTGAACTCCGGTGGGGGAGAGGTCCATGGGGAGCCAAGAACAGCCGGCGACCTTGGGGGATTTTCTTCAGTGGCCAAGCCTGAGGTGGGGTGCGGCGGTAAGCATGGTGAGGCCGGCAAGATTAGGGGATTCCCCTCCGTTGCCTCACCATGGCCCATGACGAAGTTGTCGGCGATTGGGCCTTGCGCCTCATCAGGTCCAGGACCAGCCCCTTCCATCAGCCAGGAGGAGCAGCATTTGTCGGGCTAGGCTGGACAAATTCAGTCTTCAAATCAGCCCCCGGGTCCTTCATCAAGGGAGTCAACTCGTCCCCCAATCCCTGCTTGCCGATTGGCCGCGAAACTTCTTCATTAAGGCGTATCCGGTGGGCAGTAGACGTTGCCGCGCCGACCTTGGGCGTCGAGGTCGATTCAAAGGCTTCAATTAATGGCACGTCGCGCACGTCGCGATTCCCCCGCGAGTTAAGATGCGGCTCCTCTGTTCCAACGGCAGGAGTGGAGGCTCTTGCCGAAGGAGTAGCTTCCACGTAGGAGTTGCAAGAAGCCGTGGGGCCCAACCGCACCTGACCGACCACCGCCCGAACCCATGCGGAAAGCTTGACTGCTTCGCCGGACCCGATTTTAATCTGGGGAAAAGAGACCCGGACACGGCGTGCCACCGCGCCCCATCGGGGAGGACTAGCGAAAGCTAGCGGGGATGCACGACGGAGGGCCAGCGGTCATCTTCGGCGCTTGACCTCAAAGCGATCACCGCAGCCAGCTCCTCAACCGCCGCCGCCTCACCGATGGCGGAGATGAACATGGCCCTTGATGCCTCGGAGGAGGACCATTTCTTTGGGAACCATCGACTAGCGGGGACACCGGACGAGCCGTAATCGATGGGCGGCAACGCTGGCGGCCGGCGCCGCCGCCGACAACGCTTAGACCTAGGGTGGTGCCCCGCCTCATAGACGCACAAGTCCCGGGCGGATGCAAGACGAGGGCGCTTAGCCGACTCGAGTCGGGGTGATCCGCCGCCAAACCGGGACGCTTTCGGTGCGGCCGTCGGCGAGGGCCGCCACGATGACGATGCCCAGACCTAGGGTGGTGCCCGCCCCAAGGCGCACTCAAGTCATTGGGCGGATGCGAGACGAGGCGCTAAATGACTCGAGCCGGGGTGATCCGCCGCCAAACCGGGACGCGCCGGTGCCGGCCGTCGACGAGGCCGCCCCTTGCAGCCTAGTGGCGCCAGGGCACACGTAAGATCGGTGTCCAGGGCCTTGCAAAGGAAGCATCTAGTCCTCTGGCGGCCTTTGGGCACTTGTTGTGCGGCGAGAAGCGATTGAAACCACAGACCTCCTAATCTTTTAGAACTTGGGAAAAGTCATCCTATTTCAGCGTAAAGTTACGCGCTTCCGAGTAGAAAAGGGTTCACGATGCAAATGTACATGAGAAAATAATATATAAAAGTGGTTACTATAATTTAGAAATAGTAGATGATTCCTGATGTAAAATTGCCTTCTATATTTTAGGGGTGGATTATTAGAAACTCCTGGAGATGATCTTCTTTATTCCTTTCAATACTTTTTTTAGTAGTTGTAAAACTTTATGTTTTTAGAAAGAAACTATTGGGTACTCTTGGAGACGATTCCCCTCTCTCCTACTCTTTCTGGCCTCACCAATAGGTAGTCCCACCATTTCACTAAAAAGTGTCATTCTTATTTCTCGAGAAATCAAATATTTGCAACTTTGACCAAATACATATAAAATGTATTAATATTTATAGTATATAATTAGTATCGTCAAAAAAGATACAAAAATAATAATATTACGATATGTTAGCATAGAAAACCGTATGAACATGGAGACATGAATCAATTAAAAAGCATAAGAGCTAAGCTGGTATGCTTTTTAATTACTCTCTTTTTTTCTTACTAAATAGAATGTGCTATGAGCTAGCTATTTGTATTATTGTTTTTGTAGAGGTATTTGTATTATTGTCGACGACCCTTACTCACATTCTTCACCTTAAAATTTTTTTATAGTAGCTAGCACATCCTTTAGCATTAACTTATTTGGATATACTCTTATTAATTCTGAATTACTAACTACTCCTAAGCTTGTATGCTAGGAGATGTGTACAACTACCAAAGCACTACCGCTAGGTTAAAGTTATCCGATTGCCCTAGTAACATAAATTCTGCCCGCTAGATTTATGGCCTCTCTGGATAAGTTAGGGTTAGTTATTAGTTGAGATTAAAAATACCTTCTTAAGTTAGTTGTTGTTGATTGTTTATTTGGGTAATAACTAGTTAGAGGCTTAGATAAAAGATTAGGTCACTTATTAGCCTCTGTTTGGATAGGCTAGAGCTAAAAACTAGCTAGCTAACAATTAAACCTATATATGTAAATATAATTATAAATCATTTTGGTATCTAGAAAAGACAGAATAATTTAGAATGACACAGTACAAGATATCGACAAACTAATTTCAACTTTTCAACACTTCTTTTCTCGAACACGTAGGAGGGTTGCGTATCATTGTATTAGTAAAAAAAAAAAGGAGTCATACATAGACCCAACATACTCACACACCCCTCCACACCTTTCCTGTTTTCTAAGGCTTAAGCACCTGTTTCTGAGTATACGACGACTGAGCGGGCTAAAAACTAAAAGCCCCTAGCAGTGAGCAAGGATAGACCCTTTGCTCCCGCCATACACCACCAATGGCCTTCGTCCCTAGCTAGACTCAGGGCAGTGTCAATGCTTGGTGCGGCCCCATTGAAGACACAGTCATTCCGGTGTTTGCTGATGCTCCAGGCGCCAAGGATGATGATAGAGTTTAAGCCTTTTCTTACATCCCCAGTGGTAGCTGCTTCCGCCTTTTCCCACCAGTCCTCCCAAGCTGAATCATTGGGCTGAGGTGTGAGTGAAGAAAGGCTAACGCGTTGCAAGAAAAAAAAAACAGAACTGCCTAGCAAAAACGCACCCAATCTGGAGGTGCTGAATGCTTTTCTGTTCCTGGTCACAAAGCAGACATTGCCGGGTGGGGAAGTCCTCGCCGAGCAAGCATGTCAGTTGTCCAACACCGGTTATGAACAATCAGCCACATGAAAAAACGGCATTTGGGAGGAGGAGGAGCCATGACCTCCATATTCTCTGATATGGTCTGAAATAAATGGGGCCCTGAAAGAACGCTTCATATGCAGACTTTGCCGTGTATTCTCCTCAAGCCGAAATTCTCCAATTGTTCTTGTCCTGTATCCCTCCGTGTAGCTCAACATCAGAAATTATGTGACTGTTTAGTTCCCAAAATTTTGCAAAATTTTTCAAGATTCCCCGTCACATCGAATCTTTAGACGCATGCATGAAGCATTAAATATAAATAAAAAATAAAACTAATTACACAGTTTAGACGAATTCCAAAAGACGAATCTTTTAAGCCTAATTAGACTATGATTGGACACTAATTGCCAAATAACAACGAAAGTGATACAATACCAATTTCTAAAAAATTTCGCCAACTAAACAAGGCCTATATCCCATAATTCCAGATATTCCATCAAAGCTTCTACAGATAGTTCACTTTGGATTAGTGATGAAAATGAAAATGATAATTTCTGATTTTCGGAAATCGTTTTTGAGCTTTTTCCGATTTCCAAACCTAAACGAAAACGGTAGCGGTAATCGAAAAAACGAAAATGAAAATGATAAAAATAATCGGAAACGAAAGTGAAAACAATTTTGCCCTCTTCCGACCGTTTTCGAAGATTGCCGTATTTAGCCGGCAATTTGCCGTCGGTAGTTACCGATTCAAAGGTCTTGAATCCTAAGTTATTCATAGACTATATAATGCATATACCTTAGGTCCAGTTGGCCCACACCTAAGCATCTCATCTGCACACACAAGCACATAAAAAACAAATATGTTTTTTGGAAAGGAACTATACATAAAATATCTCATATGTATAGGAACAAGAAGGCAATCAGTGAATCACGTATTGCACCTATAACTCTAGCCAGTCACCACCACGAACACGAACGGACTCTAGGGTTTAGCTTGTTGTGACCTAAGATGGTGCGAACTGTGGTTTTAGCTTGTGGTCTTTGTCAATTATAGCATTATTTATTATTGTCATGTGAGATAGGTAGAGTTGTATGGCTTTTCTCATGTTCTCAACGGTTTGGCGTGTTTATTGTTTTTGAGGATATTGCTCACATGGATTCCGATCGTTATCGATGTATTTTCGGATTGACTACTATTATTTTCGAAATTATCGGAATATCGGTGCCGTATTCGTTTTTGACAATATCGTATCGATTTCGTTTTCGAGAAAAAATATGAAAATGAAAGTGATTTAGCCTCCTATCAATCGTTTCCATCGTTTTCATCCCTACCTTGGATATCCTCAATCCGTTTCTCATCACTCAGGGCCTCCATCACCATACGCATGCCTATTCTTCTTTTGACATGCACAGCGTACGTTGAAGTACAAAAGTGTACGTATAATGTGCTAAAATAGCATGCCATCTAAGACTTCAAGTCACAAGCAGAACTACCGATAATACATCAGGATCCATCCATTTATTATTTATCTTTCTAGCACCTTTTCCGCTTCATCTTTCTTTCCCCAGTGGAGGTTTTTACTTGCTACGTTTGTTTCATTTCTGAGATTTTTGTTCTGAAAAGAATTAAAAAATCAGACTTGCAAACGTCCGTCCGGGGCGCTAGCGTCCGATGCTGCCGCACAGAGGGAGCAAACGAGCTTATACCGCGTCGGGCTCATGAGGTAGCGCACCAGCAGTGGGCCCGCGCCGCCCAAATGTTGTCCGCGCCGTCAACCGCTTCCCACGCACATCCCATGTGCAACACCCGATCTATTTTTGAAATATCCAAATACAACAGTTGCAACATACAAAAGAAGACAAATGAAACACTTACGAAAAATGCCTGAAAAAACATTTGAAAATCATTGCAAACATATGCAACACTCAGATGAAACACTCGCTAACATACGTATGAAACACATGAAAACACTTAAAACATATTCTTGCAACATGCATGTATGTGCAACATCTAGATCTACTTTTGCAACATCCAAATAAAACATTTGCAACATTCGTCTGGAATAGATGAAACATTTGGAACATACACTTGAAACATACGTGTATAGCCATTACAACATGTGCAACATCTAATATACTTTTGCAACATCGATATACAACACTTGCAATATTTCTCTGAAACACTTGGAACATACTACTGCAACATGCGCTTTCAGCGTAGTATCTACTTACTGCTTGGACAAATAGAGTTTCGCCGACGCGGAGCTCGACACCGGCGTGAAGCTCGATGCTGCGGAATGGTGCGGAGGTCGCCGTTGTGGAGCTCGTCGGCGGCACGGACCACGACAGGGACAGGGGTAGGCGGATGGAGTGTGGCCATGACGATAGGCGCGAGTCCGAGCGGGGGGCAGCGCGGCCAAGGGCAGGGTCCGTCCTGGAGCAAAGGCGCGTAGCACACTGAGCAAGCCGGCAACGCTGGCGAGGGCGGCGCTGTCGACTTATACGAGTCCGTCCGTCCGTCCGGACGACCTATAAGCACCATTACTGTTAAAAAAATAGGTAAAGCAATGGATAAGAAATATTTGGTTTGCGTAATAAGCGTTCTCAAAGCTTATTTTCATTGGAATTCAACCAAAAGGGAACATTTTAAATGCAAAATGAAGTTGACTATAGCATGCCGTAATAACCAAAGTGCTCTGAAATTAACTTGGTTTCCATTAAAGTGAAATTAACCACTTAATTCGTAGTTGTAAGCTTTTGCATTTCGTCGGTAGAATCCCTTGGCACAACGCCAAGATGGAAGTTACATGGACATTGGGCCCATATATCCCTGCAGTTCCGAAACTGCAAGGCAATTCATTCACCATTTCGCATGCCCACGCAGCAGGCTCATGTACAGAAACGTGCTTCACCATGGATTTTTTTCTCTCATCTCCGTACTCTACATTCCAATGAACAACAATTTTGAACTCTGCAATAAAAAAATTTCCTGACAGAAACGCGTCTAGCCATTGACTTGTCAGATTGACCCGCGTTGTACCTACCTTCACCATGGCCGCGACGCGTCCAAGAAGCGCGTTTCCTCCCCGTCAGTTAGCATGTACTTATCTAAAATGAAATGAGGGTTGGAGACCTGTAGTCAAGTCAATTTCTGCTTCATCCCATCTTCTTTATATATAGACCCACGATTCATCTGTCTCTCCCAGTCGTTCTGCTGCTCTGCATCCTCCGGCTGTTCCAGGTCAGTCTTCTTGTCCTCACTGTTCTTCACATGATTTTTGCAAGGACTTGTGCTTGTTTTCGTGCTTGCCATCGCAGCGCACTGTTATCCTTAATTCATCGCATCTGTAATAGCATTTGTATGCTCCCGCGCATTTGAAAGCGTGTTGCATTAGACCTGCATTCTGATTTGAACAAAACATAGTACTGAATCATTTGTCATATCTAATTCGACGGGGAAAAAAACAAATCCGAAAGCCCCTACAGCAACTGTGCTGACGCCTGATAGATGCATTACGAACACTGAAATGAAAGTTTCAGCATAACCTGGTTCAGTCTGAATCTTTCAGGGATACAACCATTCCTGGTTGATTTGGACTGCACAAAATGGACGACCAGGTTTAGTTATGAAAACAGATGGATACACATACACCCCAACTTTTAAAACTTTTCAAACTAGCAAAAAAAAAAAAAATGCGAGTTTAGATTAGTTCCGGTTGAGGGTATGCCAGTGGAAGCTTAGGATGCAATAGTTCATATCTGAAACAAATACTATATACAACACTGCAACACATCGAAACACCAGGTTATTTTCTAATGTTTTTCTATTTTTTTAGCTTATTCTTTCTTGCATAAGTTGTTTTAGTACTGTGTCATATTTCCATGAATTAGATGTTCTAACCATCCATACCTTGTGCTGTGTCTTCCTGTCGCTCAGACCACAACTTTCTAAATCGTCAGAGATGTCTACAGACACCAGGTCTAGTCTTCTAAGCACATTGCCCAAGGATATACCAGCAAGCTTTCTGAAGCAAATCACAAATGATTTCTCTCCTAAGCTAGAACTTGGTAAAGGTGCATTTGGAACAGTCTACCAGGTATGATCATATATACGCCTGAAATTTGTTCCTGCCTTCTGAAGTTGACTGAACACATGTCAGCATGCCAATATACATAATACATGATATGATACTTGACATAGGGAATTGCGGAGAATGGGGAAATGATTGCTGTGAAGAAACTTGGGGAAAATTGTCCTGTGGCGGACAAAACATTCAGTAATGAGGTCTGTAATCTTATGGCAGCCCAACATGAAAATATTGTGAAGTTGGTGGGCTACTGTCATGAATCACAGAAGAAGGTGGTGCAGCACAATGGAAGATATATCATTGTAGATATAGCTGAAATTTTTCTCTGCTATGAATATCTACCTAAGGGAAGCCTTGACAATTATCTATTTGGTATGTACATGTACTACAATATTCGACAGCATTCGCCACTATTTAATTCCTTTACTGCATCCTATTGAGTTTTCAGTTGCTACTTTGAGATAAATGAGTAATTAAAATTCATATTATAAACCAAAAAATTCAAAAAGAGTTATTAGTACAATAAGATTTTTGTTTCTGGTAAAGATTACTTACATATCTCTGTGTTCTACTTCTTCAGCCGAATCTAATAGAATCGACTGGGACACACGGTTTAGAATAGTTCAAGGAATCTGCAATGGTTTACATTTCCTACATAAGGAAATGGATCAGCCTGTCGTTCACATGGATCTTAAGCCTGAAAATATTTTGTTGGGTGATAATATGGTCCCCAAAATTGCTGATTTTGGACTTTCAAGACTCTTTGGTCAAGAGCAAACCCGAATGAACACTCAAAATGTTGTGGGATCATTGTAAGTAAAAAAAATGTGAAATGACTATTTTCCTTTATTACTAGATTCAATTTAAAAAAAATCACAGTAAATAAGTTTTAATGAACTCTGTTCAGAGGATATATGGCTCCAGAATATCTATACAGAGGTGAAATCTCTACCCAGTCAGACATATATAGTTTGGGTCTACTAATCATTCAGATAAGCACCGGAGAAAAGAATACTCCTAAAGCTGAAGACAAGTGTGGACGAAAATTTATTGAGAAAGTAAGATCATGTTATTTGGTATTTTCATGATTTCAATTTTTTCAAATAGACTAGATTAGATTTAGTTTGCATATATGATATAACAGGAGGAACATCGAAACCTGTAGGTACAAAAAAGTTGGACAGATGGCCACATATCATCCAAGTACACATCATTTGATCCAGATCGCCTCCAGCAAATTAAAATGTGTGTTGAAATTGGGTTACAATGTGTGGAACATGAACGCAAGATGAGACCTTCCATAGCGGATATTGTTGAAAAGCTCAATGCAATGCTGGAATGAGGTATGAACACTGGAACAGTGAATCCCTTTGGTCAGTTTCTTGCACAAATGCTACCCACTTTTGACAAACCTAAGGCCAAAATGGTTTGTAGTTATGCTCAGGCTCTGCTATTCTGAATAGAACTTGCTGATCAGCTTACTTACTTGTAATAAATGGAAACTTATGGGATGCTTTGGCCTAAGGACATTATTGTTGTGAAGTATTAGTGGATTGCCCACCTCTTCCCAATCGCTTAAGCTTAAGCTTTTGGGTTCACTTGGTTGGTGCATTAAACCTAACATGGTATCAGAGCCGGTGTCTAGGTTTACCTCGCTGCCGTTGCAGGCGTCGCCGGCATCGTTGCCGCCGGCGAGTGCCCCTGCTTTGCTCCTCCTGTGCACCGCCGCGCTCGTTCGTGCGCTCGTCCGCGCACCATCCGCACGCCGTCGCGACCTGTGGCTGCTGCTTCTCTTCCGCGCCGTCGCACCTATCCATCGCGGCCCGCGGCTGCCTGCGTGCCGCCGCAGCTGCTGGTGCTGCCCAGCCGCAGCCGTCGGGCGCGGCCTCCGGTGGACGCCGCACCTCCCCTGGCTGCCGCCTGCTGTCCCTCCCCACGCCCTCTGGTTGAAGTCGCCCCTGTTCTTGGACATGGCACTCTTTAAGTCCTCTGCTCCCTTCTTTATTTCCACGTTTGCGCCTTGTTCTGGCTGCACGTGAGTGGGAGTGTTGTGAAGTATTAGTGGATTGACCACCTCTTCCCAAACGCTTAAGCTTTTGGGTTCACTTGGTTGGTGCATGAAACATAACATGGTATCAAAGCCAGAGGTCTCGAGTTCGAGTCCTGGTAGAGGCATCTTTTAAGTCCTCCGCTCCCTTCTTTATTTCCACATTTGCACCTTGTTCTGGCTGCACGTGAGTGGGAGTGTTGTGAAGTATTAGTGGATTGCCCACCTCTTCCTAATTGCTTAAGCTTTTGGGTTCACTTGGTTGGTGCATTAAACCTAATAATTATAACTTTCAGGTCCAACTACACATGTTACAAAGAGGCCATAGGTTGCCTTATCAATTGTTTAAGTAATCTAAGTTCCATGTATATGTTTACAAAGGGTTGGGTTTTTCCTTTCATTTGTTTAGTTAAAAAGTTACAATCAACATATGTGCATCAGCTACTCCTATTTTCTTGCCTTCTATTCATAATTTGGACTATGTTTTCTGCTCCAAAAAGCCAGCACATACAACATCATATGGTTCATGCTACATTACGCCAATGCTAACATATCCTTTGGAATTTTAGGCCTCTCGGCCCCAGCGAGTTTCAAACATATTGGCCTCAGAGAGGATGACAGATCGATATCCAAGATGGATAAAGCATGTTTATTATTCGTAGACAGCCCGAAATTCCTTTTGGAATAAAATCCTTTCTTTTATCATCTCAGATATGGAAACTATCACATTATATTCCTTCCATCAACACCAGAACTGCTGCTCCAAATATCTTTTCATTGTAATCATTATGCAAAGAAGTATTTAAATTAAGGGATGGTACCCAACAATTCCTTTAAAATTCCTATTGAATGAGCTACTCCAAATGAATTTTGGAGGAATGTAAACAGACCTAATGGTTTTCTTCATATATGTGTGTGTTATCCATATGTTCAATGTGTTGCCTCGAAACATTACTATTCATACTTAGACGTGATCTATGCCTTATAGAGAACCAAGTGTATCTTGGGTAGTTAGCAGAGTCGATGGTTCATACTTGAGCTTATTCTTCTATAAGCGTAAACGGATGCTTGGACTCCAAATTACTATAGAGTCATACATACTTTCTAGTTCATTTTAGAGAATTAATTATAACTCTCCTTTATCTTTATCCATTACTAGGTTTGAACCCATTACGTTGCACACGTCTGTTTACCTAGATTATAACATGCACATGCTATACCATGGATAAGTATATGGAAAAACTTAAGATTCTTAGTATGATGTCTACCAAGAACCTCTGTGCAATAAAATCGAAACACCCATTGTGATTTTGTGGCATCTCAATTCATCAGGATCAAAATATAAAATGAGTCATGGGACATGGGTAGATGTTGCGGTGTATAACCAAAATAATTTAAATCAGAATTTAGCAAACAAGAGAACAATACACCTTTTTATGCCAAGATTTTTTTTCCCAAATAAACATATCCTACCAATGACTTTCATCTCAAACGAAAGAAAATAAAGGACCGAATATAATAACATTATAACAAGGAGGTAAGAAATGCCCACTATTGAACAGGGCCGTGCCGGCAAAATCTGAGGCCTCGTTCCAAACCCTAAAATAGGCCCTACCTCCCTAGAAAAATAGAACGATAAGATGTACATCATTGCGATAAATCAAGAATCATACATATTCAAGCCTTGGTTGCATAATCTTTGTTTGAACAGTATCACTGTCTTAGTGTTCTTTGAAATAAAATAATTAATGATATCAACAATTCTAATTCGTTGCGATAAATTATTAAGTCTATCTTATATCATTGGAGAACACTAATACAACCATTCTACTTCATATGAATTATTTAACAAAACCAAAATTAATGAAAAATAAATTACTTTGTTGGCTGGTACAGCAGTCCTAGCTAGGCAGCGCCGAGTACTATGCATTGCTAGCGGTTCTGCACCAACATATAGCAACTACGTAGTAATTGTTAATTAATACAAGAAATATTTCCATCAAATATAAGACAATTAGTCTATTAGACAATTGGCTGGTACAATTAGTAATTTTTGGGGCCCTAAGAATGGAAGGCCCCGTACGATCGCACGGCTTGCACGTGGATGGGGCACGGCCCTGCCATTGAACAATCAGATAACCAAACGATGAAATGAGCTTTGCAAGTTGCATTCCTCGTGGCATGGCTATTGGTGAATCCCAATTCGCAATCAGTCATCAGACCTTGAGCAAGATACATCTGAGGACTATGAAGCCGAGATACAGCAGAAACGAAGGTTAGAGGCTTACAGCCATGTATTTTTGTTCGGCACGGCAGTGCAGCAATTCGTCGAGCAGGTCCTGTGCTCGGAGTCGGAGACCGACCGAGGCCGAAGTTCTTGAGGACCGGAGGAGGCGGATGGAGCGGAGTAGGAGTACATCCAATGCGTAGTACCGTAGAGATGAAAAGAGACCGAGGTAGCCGGCTAGGTCGCCGCGGCCGGTCCCTGCCGGCGTGCTCAGGAATGGGGGGCTGTCGAGCTGACGCAGTAGAAAAAAAATCCGTTTCAATAGAAAGATGACTTATCCATCCAATCCCACCAGGAACACAGGATTGTAGAGAAAACCATTAACGAATCACCTACCTGGTGCCCTGGTGGTGGTGCTGCTGCAAAGAGCAGAGAACTCCTGCAATGGCTGCTCCTCCCCCGACCAAACACTCTGACCTGGTGCTGTGAAGCTCTGCACAGCGCTCGCGGTGGCGGTGCAGCGCAGCTTGGAAGAGCAAACCTACTGGAGCCTGACGGAGTGGCGGTAGCCCGGTACTCTAGGCGACTAGGCGTCTACTGCTCGCTAGTCAAACAATTTTAGTTTAATAATTAAATTAATATACAGAAGATATTAACTTTATAAAATCAAATAAATATTATTAGATTAATTGAACAATATTTTTTATAGTAAATCCATATGAGGAAATAAATATTGATATTATTTTTCTTTAAATGTAACTAAATTTAAAAATTTTGTCTTATCCTAATCTAGAATAATCACCGCAGAAAGTTTCTTTAGAGACGGCTAGAATGGTTTTTAAAGACGACGGCTCCGCTCACCTCTATGGCTATATCTGTGTATCTCTGTACATCAATGAATTTCTAAATGTTAGTTGAAACACTGCAAGCTCTATAAATCGATTTTCTATTGGCAGGCTAAAATCTAGCCGACTCTATAAGTCGTTTTACAATTTTATAAATTAGGCTAAAAATAGCAAGAGAAATAACCCTAAGAAGAGATCACTAGGTAACTCCTCCAGTGGTGTCGTTGCATGTCACAGGTCACATGATTTTACATGTAAAATACACACACATTTCTTAGCACTTGAACCCCAAAGTTAATTACTTGTACATGTGCCTAATACAATACTTTTGTATTTAGTTTAACGAGTATTGTAATTAATATTTGAGACCTACATCGACGGCATGAGGGTATGGTTGTCATTGTTATGGACATTGTTAATGTGGTCGTTGCGGTCGTTGGATGTGGTCTGTTCATATTTTTATGCTCAAATGGATAATTCTGCAAACACATAGAATATCAATGCAGCACTTTACCCGGGAGTATTCCGAGTATCATATTTATATCATCAGAGAAAACATATATATATTGCTAAGATGATTGATCGGTATGATTTCCAATAACTAAGTTACAAACAATCTTTCGACTCTAGATAGGGGTGAGAATAATAAACAAAGGTAGTGTGATACAAGGGACAATAAGAAAGCTATAAGATAAACGTCGTAGCTAATGGGAGGACCAGGAGTGTAACACACCACATCCAAAATTTGCTTATATGGCCCAACTCCGCACGTAGAACAAGTTTGAACACCTCTCCTACATTTTTGTAGTTGCTTCATGTAAAAGACGAGTTAACCCAGTGGTGATACATTTGGAATGACAAGTATTATAACTTGGCCCTCACCCTCGTAAACTTCCAAGTGGTACTAAACCCACCACCACCAACTCCTCATGTGTCATATGGGCCAACATCATAACTGCTACATGCTTCTAACAGGCTAGGGTGTTACATTCACCACCCCCTAAGGGTTGATGCCCTCGGTAGCTCACCACATACACAACAGATGCCTAGAACCACCCCTTGGTACATCCCTCCATGGGCACTACAACAAGGGTGGATGATCTGGTACCATCTGTAACACCCCATGCAAAAAATATGCTTATATGGCCTAGCTTACAGCACGTGGAGCAGGCTGCATCGTGTAACATCTCTTACACTTTCGTTCTTGCCTTGTGTAAATGGGT